TCTCTAACCCTCACTATTTATTCTCCCTTTCTCTCTCTAAAACTGCATAGTTTCTCATTATTGCCTTTCTTTACTTTCCCACTCTCTTACTTATCTGGTGGATCCTATAAATACCGAGTCATCTGCCTTTCTCTTCGGCTTAGGTGAGGCCTTTTCTCACATTCAGAATGCCCATTCTCCGTCTTTAAGAGGTCCAGGTCCCATTTAATTGGGGGTGCGGTTTGTATAGGGCCTGCGCTCTGGACAATCAAATTAGAGTCCGCCTTCATATGGTATTCAAAAATGTGATTTCAATAATGAAAATCTTTGTGATAGTCTTAAAATTTATTTTTATTTATATTTATAAAGTTTAAAATTTCAAAAATAGTGTAGATCGATTTATGAAAACTTAAAAATTTACAGTCTAAAAATGTGTTATAAAATAAATTATTTTCAAAACTTGAAATTTATTTTTTTCTTATGTCTATCTATCTTGATGTCGACACGATCAATTTGAGCATCAAAACAACCTCTTCTAGTGAAATTTTTTAGGTAGGCGCAAATTTGATTGTTAAGAGCTCGGCTCTATATAAAACTTTTCCCCCTAATTGATCATCTCTCTACTCAATCTTAGGTGGTGTTGTTTCTCTCTCTATCTCTCTCCCCTCATGTTTGCTCGTCCCCATTGAAGTCTATAGCTAGGAGTGGTAATGGATAAGGAACTCCACTGGAGCAGGGTATGGGTCCAAAAATTGGATCCAGCGGATTGGGTCTCGATTCAAGTCCGAGTCCGAGTCCGAGTCCATTAATATTTTTTGAGTCTCAATATATGAAATATTTTGAATATATAGATATTTTAATTTTGGAGCCAAGTATCCTATATTTTTGGGTCTAGTCAGGTGAATTTAGATCCGGTTGGGTCCATGTACCCTATCGTTTTTTCCAGATCAAGACCCAACCCGACCAGTTGCCATCCTTACAGTAGCGAGTCCTCTCTCTCTTCCGGGGGTGGGTCCTATACTAAGCGAGTCATATCTCTTTTGGGTGCGGTCATCTCTCTCCCCCTCACTCTGGCATTTGGGGAGAGATTTACTTCGCAGTTCCAAGCCTGAAATTGACAATGAATGGTACATTTTCTCTCTCTCTAGAATTTGGAGATTGATTTACCTTGTAGTTCCTAGCTTGAAAATGGCATTGAATGCTACATTTAAACGTTTTCTGGTTAGAGCCAACTCCCCCTTTCTCTCTCTAACTTTGATACTCAGGAGTTAAACAGCTTTTTTTTTTCTCTCTCTACTCCTTTTTATCCAACCCGGTTTCGGTACATCGTACGACCTAAACACGCCCCTTTTAACAACGTTACAAGAATGCCCTTGGGTTCACCCTTGGATTTCGGGAATATTACTCCAAATTATGCGGGAGTTAGTTTAGAGTTCAGAGGTGAGGCTATAGAAAAGTAAAGGGTATATTGGTGATAAGTAGAGAGAAAGTTGGTTTGGGTTGGGTTTGCTTGATCCCGTGATTTTAACAGTTTTGGGGCGAGTGGGAAATGTCACGTAATGTGGATGGGGGGTGCAGTTTGGGTGGAGTTGGTTCGGTTTGATTCATAACCCGTTTGTTGAGAGAGATGTTTATAGTAGTGGACACGTGAGAGAGATGTTCATAGTAATAGTAACAAAAGTAGCGGTAGCAACGGGTCGGGTATTGGATGGGTCCGGGTCGACCTGGACCAAGATCTTAATACCATTCGAGTTCAGGTTTTGGATTCAGACCCGACTCTTCGGGTCCAAATGTTAGACTTTTATCTGTATCCAGCGGGTCTCGAAATTGATCGGTTCCATTACCTCCCTCACTATTAGTTTTTTTTTTTTTCTTTCTTTACCATCATATACTCAAATTATGAAAACAAAGTTCACAATTATCTTCCATTGGATTTCAAGTGGTCTTATTTGTCGTTTAATAGCTAAAGATGATTATGAATTCTTGTTGTATATGATACCTAATACGCCCAAATAAATAGAGCTTGAAGTATTTTATCTCCAACAATTTATAGGTATGGGTCGGGTCCAACCAGACCCAAACCTAAATAGTATTTGGATCCAGCTGTTAGACCCCGACTAGACTCATTGGGTCAAAATGTTGAAACCATACCCAAACCCGTGTCAAATATACCCAAATTGGGTCCGAGTCCAGTGCCACCCCTACTTTATAGCATTGGTAACACGAGAAAGAAACGTATATGGTAGTGGTAACACGAGCGAGAGATTTATAATAGTGGTAGAGAGAGAAAGATAGAGAGAGAGGGATTTGTAGTAGTGGTAACATTTGCAGTAGTGGCATAGAGAGAGCGATGTTTAATAGTAGCGGTAGAGAGAGAGGTTTAGAGTAGAGGAGAGAGAGAGAGTGTGTTCGGCGACACGAACGAAATAGGTTGCCTAGAGAGAGATTGCTTAGTGGACTTCTTGCGATACCAGAAAGCAGGAAGATCAAGAGAGAGAAGCTGTTGCTTAGAAGAGCCGTGGTGACTCACGATTTTGTATAATGGGAAGGTGCACATGTGTGGGTCGATAAATGACTCGTGTAGAAGATTCGATTTCTCCGATTGTCTCTCTGCGTAATGAAGGCTTTTGCGGCGCGCATTGCATGCCATGTACCGTGGTCCAATGGATAGAGAGTAAGTTAGAGAGAGAGAGAGGGTCCCCTTCATGTGTGTGTGGCTTTCAAATGAGAGCAACTTCTGGCCACAAAAGGTTCTCGAACTCTCTCTTTCTCTCTCTAACAAACGCATCAATTGGTCTTGGCCACACCAAATTCAATGCGCTACCTAATTAGAGTGCCACCATTTTGAGACGCTCGAACTAGTAACACACTCTCTCTCTCTCTCCAGACAAAACATGAGCTCCACGCCTGATCTATCTCTCTCCTCCACGCCTCTCTCTCTCTAGTGCAAAATATTGAAGGCTATCGTTGAATACGGCTGTCTACTGTCACACTCACAATTAACAATGGCGTAGGATGCATGGAATTTGGAAGTACCCTCTTATCTTGAGTCTCAAGTGCCCTCTTTCGGAGGTAACGATCCTTTACTTTCTCTCGCTTTTAGTAGGCTACGGGTTTAAGGTAGTTGATTTTAAATAGTTTGGATAAGACTCGAATGATACTGTTAATGATTATATATTATATAAATTAAATTATTATTTTTTATATATAAGATTTAAGTTTTTTTCGTCTAAGTTAGGCTCAAGCCTTGTTAGCATACATTCATGCTGATTTCGTGGCTAGGGCTTGGCCCTTGTAAACTCTATACTATTTTGGTGCAAGGCTAGCCCAACTCGAACCCGGTCGTTGACAATCCTATTAATAGTCCCGTACTCGAGAATATTCTTTAGTTCAATGGTAAGAATGGAACTCAAGCATATCCAAACTTGGTCGAGATTTTCAAATTCACTCAAATAAAATAATCTATTTATGAGGATTTCTCTTTTGAAATAAATATTTTCAGGCTATGTCCAAAGGAGAAAGAGATAAAATCCACTATTAAATACAATGGTTATAAAGTTCGTCCGAGAAGCAATTTTTCTTGGGCTCCCTGACTTCTTCTAAAGACTTTGTCTTCCTAGGTTTTCCCTTATCTAAGGTTCTCTTTCTCTCAGAGGCTCTTTCTATGTTTGGGTTTGTCTCTCCTAGGCTTTTCTCTTGTTAAGAGGCACTACGATAAACTCATATAAACACTATTTCTCTCTATAACATGCCTGTCTCTTCTCTCTAAGAGAAATCTTTCTGTATACGTATATTTCTTCTACTCCCAAGCTCTCTATGACTGTCTCTGTAAATAGAGAGGCACACCCCCATGAAGAGGATTACATTTTTGGCAAGAGAGAGACACAAGGCCTTAACATGGGGCTCCCTTTTATGTGGGTCTAGATCTGTTCATTATCTCTTTAGGCGAGATAAGGATGAAATCTTTGATTACTTTTATTTGATCTCATTTCATCTCATATGTGAGGCCTACATGAGGATTTCTCTTTTGAGAAGCCCCCAGTCTCTTCACATGAGGTTTATCTTTGCAA